CAAAATTAAAATTATTCTCAAATGTGGCGCCATCTATTTTTCATCACAGAGACCAGCAACTCTAGAGCAACGCGCAGAAATAATTTTAACAGACTAGACGTAAATTGGTAAGCAAATTATATGACTGCCCTCTTGGGGCAAGAACTCCTTGCGGCGATCATGCTGACAACGGAGAAAATAAAAGTAATAAGCAGTGAGGCGTTCACTCCGTGCGTTTCGAAGTTAGCGAAATATAAAGCGAAGCAGAAATAAATTGACAAATTTGCAAACCAGATGGAGAGTAGCTCATTACTTCTACCTTAGTTTCTCGAGCAGAAGATACACATGAAGACGATGTCCTTAAAGCTAGGTAGACCCAGGAAGACAGCCGAAGCAACCTATCGCAGAAGGGGCCAGCCAGTAATTGACTGCGCTAGAAATGAATTGCGTTCATAGCAGAAGACCTCGTAGTATGAACTACAACCGCCAGATGGCCGTATCATGCAGAGAATATTGCGTTGATCGATTTTCTCTTGCTGCCGCCGGGAATTGAACCCCGATCGCTCAGACCGTATCCCGTCGCTGTGCCAAGGTATGTTTTATTTATATTAACTCACTGCCATCTGTGAGCCGATTGTCTAGAAAATGTGGAATTCTCGACGTCTCGCAACCCTATGGTCCTCCACAACCTATTGCGGGGATAGCTGTACCCTTTTTAAATAAACAAAGATAATAAGTGAATGCATAATGGGGAGGTCATATCTGGCTGTTTGTATGTGTCATCTCGGAAACTACTAGACGGATTTTCATTAAATTTGGTAGTGACGGTCTACATTGAACCTTGTCGGTCGAATAATTTTGGTTCGTGCCGGACAAATATGATCCTTACTTTACACAAAACTAAAAACTTTTTAACTCAAATCTCATTTTCATTAATTTAATTTAAATAGAAATTCCACATTTTCACCCCCAAAACATACGTACCAACAACGCAAACTCATATCATACCCACGTAGCCATAAAGGACAACGTTGGTAAACACATCATATGCAGCTTATAAGCACCATTCTCCCTACCCTATCTCACTGTATTGAATAGGATAACTTCTAAGGAATAACAGTAATTTTAAAAGAAACTTTATTAATTTATATAAATATTTCAACATAGTTAAATGTTGTAATTCTATGCAAAAACTTGTACATGACAAGACTAACAGCAATGGATCCATGGCGACACACAGTCCGGCAATGAATATTAAATGCAGTTTACTGTCTACAAATGTCTGATGTTTGTCGTTAAGGACCAAAACATGCAGCATATAAGAAACATCGTAATAAATTGACTGTATTGACATTTGAGCCCACCAGTTATTGTATATAAAAAAGTAAGTAAAGTAAAGCTATCCCTGTAACAGGCCGTGAAGGCCCATAGGGCTGTAAGACTTTGAGGGTTCCACATTATCTAGACAGTCGGCTCAAAGATGGCGGTAAGGTTGTCAGCCTTACGCCCCGGCCGCGCTTTACTCCACAGGAAAATTATTTAATTAATTCGTGGTACTCATTTCTGTTAGAGGCTGAGTAAACCCCAGGGCTGGAAGGAATAGGTAAACTGAAAAAAAATCCAATACCGCATCGGGACTTGAACCCGCGACCTTCCGGCTTGTAGCATAGCCCCTCAACTAACTACGCTACAAGAATTTTAATCACCGTCCAGTGTGATTGAAAAAAACATAACTTTTATCGATCACACTGGACGGTGATTAAACTTCTTGTATAAAATTACTAGTGTGACGGACCAGAATTAACGACGTTAGGTCGATCAGTCATTCACTGAAGTGTAGAATTGTTGTGATCGACGGACAAACTTCGAAACAACAGATCTACCGAATAGTTCGTTCACAGTTTTATCGTGTTAATTATGCGTTTATTTCGGTTAACATACAATTTCGCTACATGTTTCGACTCGTCATGAAGCAATCATCAGGAAATACATTCCACAAAACTTAAATAATTGAAGAATTCCGTCTTCTTGGATGTGGCGACATCTAAAACTTGTATGAATCGATGTTTCAGAGTAACGTATGGCCCCCATCTTCAGGGTAGAAAAATCCGCGAGCGAAAAATCAACGTGAGCACGTGGCTGCTGGAATAATCAATAGACGTTTAAGCGATGTAACGGATCGAATATAAAACTATAATGAAATACATTTAAAGCTCCTTTTCCTTTAAAATATAAAAACCAGAGTCACGCCAGCTTTTAACGTAAGATTTAAAAAAGTCACATATCTGTTGTTCGTGAATGCATTAATGTTACAAATCTCTTCTATTTCCTTTAACCAGTGAGAAGTTTTTATTATTACCGATATTAAGACATTTGTCTTTCCCGTGCAAACAGACAAAATCTGTAATACATCATAAGAATCAGAAAGGTCTGTTGAAACAAAATATATTTATTTCCTGGAATATATATGTATTTCAGGAAATAAATTTGTTTTGTTATACGTACATATAGGTCTTTTTACTTCCACCACAAATGTGACAGACACATTAGTTCAGCACTTTCCAATGTGACTGCTCTAAAACCCAAATATACAGAGCCTATTCGTCTGACAGATCCAAAAACATGAATTCAAGAACAATTTATTTTTTAAAAACATCCAATTACGTGTTGACATTTGTCTATATAGTTCATTTTATTGGGTACTTTATAGCATGGCGTCAGCATAGAAATTCACAGGAATAGGTTCATCGGAGGAATCTTAATAGTGGCTGTATTTTCGTCTACAAGTGATAAGTTTCTGTATCAAGTGACGAGAAAATCTTTATTTTGAGATACAATTTCAATTTCTTTTAACAAGGAATTGTTTGAATAACTTTGCATTCATGTTTCACATAAACCAAGCCTTGCCATTTCTGAAGAACAGAAGATTACACGTAAATATTGTGTGGAAGATAATAATTGCACTTGCAGTAAATGCACATGTGTGTTATTTACAACAGTTAGACATGGATCTGGCAAAGAGACTACTGGTCCCAGAAGATGATACTTCTCACAGTATTATTCAGTTGTTTAGTTCTTGCTTCAGTCAAAATAACCGTCTGATGACAGTAGTCGAAGGAGGAGCATCTTTGCCAGAGGAAGTTCTTCATCATATTCACATCAGAAATACGTCATATCCTGTCATATTCACACAAGGTGATGAGCTGGAAGAAGTAAAGAAGAGAATCCCGAAAACTTTACATCAGTCCAGTGATGCGTTTATATTATTTCTTGATAATTTTGAACAAATCAAAACCTTACTTTATAGAATAAAGTTACTTCCTTTATGGAATCCAAGAGGTAGATTTATGTTAGTTGCTTTACAGCCTCTTCTAAGTGACAGAGAATTCATTATCGAAAACGTTTTCAAGTTATTTTGGTTGGAAAAGATAATGGAAATTATTGTAGTTTTTCGGTTTGCCATTAATGGGCAGTGTAACGAAGACAGTAACTGCTCTTCAGTGACAGCAAATATACAGGCCGCAACATACAATCCTTTCAAACGCTTCAATGGAATTAATTATATAACAGACATTTCAAACATACGGCCCAGGACCAACAATATGGAAGTAATTTTCCCCAGCTTGTCGGATCTTCATGGTTACCCTTTGAGGGTATCAATCTTTCCAGCACTTCTAAATGCTGTTCCAGTCCTAGGACCCAGCGGAAAAGTCGTCAGATTTGAAGGTTTTGATGGACATACAGTGACCGCCCTGGCACAATACATGAATGCAACAGTGGTGTTAGTACCTCAAAGGGACCGTACTCTCTTCGGAATCAAAGCTAAGAACGGAACCATTACGGGATCTTCTGGTGATGTGGCTTATGGCAGAGCTGATATTGCTTCTAACTCACAGTACATGAAAATTGGTTGGGTCGAACTAGAATACACATATCCACACGATACTAATAACCTCGGTATTCTGGTATGGAGATCGAAGCGCGTGCCTCAGTTCAGAAATCTCTTTCTTCCATTTCCAACTCATGTCTGGATAGTTTTGATCTGTACCATGATTTTAACAGCCATATGTTGGTATTATATCCGAAAATCTGGTAATATCTCTGTAAAGAAAAAGACAATCGAAGTTTCAATCAATGAAGCATTCTTCGACATTTTTCGATCTTTTATATCTGGAACTTTAACCACAGTTCCGACTTCGCTTCTGGGCCGTGTGTTCATCATAACGTGGATATTGTTAGGAATTATTATGACAAACGCTTTCCAAGGCTCACTTACCAGTTACATAGCCGTACCCAAATATCTCCCAGAAATCAACACTCTTAAACAGCTTGATAAATCTGGGCTTGAAATCTTTGTATCACCTGTAATTGAATCTTACTTGACCTTGGATAAAGATGATAAAATTATGGTAAATCTGTGGAGAAAATTTAAACCTAAACCTAATCATAGTCTGACAGCCAAATGTTTGCCTTTGAAGGAAGGTATGGCCGAACTGTTAAACGACTATTCGGCTAGATATTACTTGAGAAGTAAGCAATATGTCGAAGAAGGATACCCCCTACTCCACAGAGTCAAGCAGAATGTTTTGTCCGTTTACAGTGTCTATGGGGTTCCACGTCATTCACCCCTCCTGCTCAGGTTCAACGTCATCATCGGTCGTATTGTTGAAGCAGGACTGCAGATGAAGTGGAACAGTGATTCTTTGCACCAAGCATTACTGAACGGGAGTATATTCGCGGTGTCTAGTTTCCAGACAGCTGATCCTGCACCACTGAGCCTAACACATTTGCAGACGGCTTTCTATTTACTTATCTCTGGTTTATTATGCAGCACAGTGGTCTTTATATTACAGCTCAAGTGCAGTACAAGTACCGAAACATAAACATACGCTGCCTAGCGTCGGATGTGTACATTTGCTACGATAACAAATGTAAAATTATCCCTATAACAGGCCGTGGGGCCATAGGGATGTGAGACATCGAGGTTCCCACATTTTCTAGAAAATTGGCTCATAGATGGAGGTGAGATTAGCCTTAGGCGCCGGCCGCTATTCACCCCCAGGAAAATTCCTGGTACTCTTTTCTGTTAGAGGCTGGCAGGATTAAGTCAATTGAAAAATCCAATGATCTCATCGGAATTCGAAGCCGCGGCCTTTTGGCTTGTATAATATTGCCTCAATCAACTACTCTACCGCGTACATTAGCTGTGACTGAGCTCAACAATTATTCGCCCTTTTCTGTGCTCTCTATAATTAAGAAGAATACACGAAGATTTTATCTTCTTGGATATAGCCCTCTGTAGTCCGTTGAAAGTCAGCCGACTTATATCCCAGAAGATAGAAGTCTTCATAAACACTGCTGAGAGAACCTCACATCCTGCATAGAAAATACATATCCTTATTTAGGAATTGTTATCTTGTGGGGTGTGAAGATGTGCAGTGTGGTAGAAGGTACATTTCTATCAGACTAGCCGGCGTCACACAGCAGGATATAATACTCTTCATGGTCACCGATGTGAGAATCTCAGATCTAATTGTGACGTGCTGCCCGAAAGCCGGACTGTAGAACAGCCATCGCTGCGCAACGGACAATGAGAACGCACTCTACCTAGGAAACTGCCTACGCAACAGAGGTAGAATTGTTGAATTCACGCGGCAACGGATATTCCAGCTAACAACGAAACTGAACCTTTCGACAAGGTGGCCTCTATCCGGTCCGAGCGTAGGGTATAAGCGAGGAATAGTCCAGAGGACCAAGTTAGTTCGTATCCGACGAGAGCAAAGTCAGAGCAGCTTCGAAGGACGAAGAGCCAAGGCGCTCCACCGACATTAGCGGTGCACGTGTAACAGGTGAAGATGAAACGTCTGAAGGCGTTATAAGTGCGAGTGGGTGTGATCGTGAGTGTAAAAAGTGCTTTTATAATAAACGTATTCGTCCAAATCCGAGACCCACAAAATTTCTTGTCGCGTTGCCTAGGAAACACGTGACAATACCTTTATTGATTTGTATGTTTCCGTGGTATTTCAAATTACACAAATAATTCGTTTAAAGTTTCATCAGACAGTAAGATAATTTATTTTCTCTAATGTTACCAAACAGCTGATGCTTCTCCTCAACATTTCTCAATTATAACATGTAAAATTTAAAGTGGTTATTATTAATATGAGAAATGTTATTGTAACTTTGTCATGTCAGTACCCGCCCCGGCCTACACAGTAGCAGTGCATATGATACGACTCCCCATGACACAACTATTGCGACCCTTAGAAGTCAGTCTCTTTTTGAATTTTCATTTTAAGGGTTGTTTTGAATTTTAATACTTGTTTTTCCAGCAGTACGCGAACTTATCTCGCATTTCTATTTTCATTGACGAGTTCTGTCTCGCCAGCTTTGCTGTTCACCACAGGCATGACCATAAGAATGGCTCCACTAGAAATTTGTTATGGAAATGTGTATTTTATAGAGATTGCGGTCTTTGTCAACGTTCCTGTGGGATATTCCGGCGAGAAGATGGACGAAACGGTCCCCCCATCCCAAAAAATTTATAAACACATATGAGAGTACACGATTCAACAACCCAGAAAAGCACAATCTAAATATTTACTGTCTTGAAGATCTCAAAGCTGAATTGGATTGAGCTGGCCCAGGATAGGAATTATTGGCATATTCTTGTGATTACGATGATTCTCGTAAAGCCGGGAATTTCTTGGTTAACAATATACTGAAAAATAAAACTGCAACAATCAAGTTAATTGGCTGATTCATTTATAATTTTATTCGCTAGTACAGTAGTCGGTACCGACCACAGCGACCGTGCGGTCTAAGGCATGAGCTGTCGTCACCCACTCAGATACTGAGGTCGTGGGTTTGGATCTCACTCGAGGCATAGATTCTTGTCTGCGTTTATTCTATATTTATGTTGTACTGTGTAGGTAGCGGCCTTGCGGCGTGCAGATCCCAAGCACAAGGAGTCCTAACGACTGTTTCTATGATTAAGAAACCGTAAATCAGAGGCCAAGGTTCATCATGGCCTGCAGCGCTCACAGATCAGTAGTAGTACCTTGGTCGATTTCTTAATTAGCTACTTAGATGATTGGTTAGTTATTCATTAATCATTAAATTTGTAATTGTTGCAAATAATATGAATTCTTCTAATGTTGTGTGTTACTGATGTTGCGAATTATGTGTCTGTAAGGATATTATTCATAAAGTACGTATCTAATTTGACAAATCCAAATATGCAGGGCTACAACGTTTGTGTGTCTTACTTTATGTACAGTTTGAATATTTGTGTGAGTGCTAATATTAAGGTAGTTCCATGTGTACCACTATGTTTTAATGGCACTGGTGTACAGTATGGACTCAAGAATTTAAATACGCATCTGGAATTCTGCAAGCCTGTTCGTCTCACTTTTGTCCTCTTGCTGAAGATACGTTTTGCATTACATGGGTATAGAGATTTGTGAACTTAGCAAAGGGTGACAGTAAAGAAATGAGAATGACTTTCGTTTCGTTTTTTTATTAAACAAAGATCTGTCCTACACCATTAAAATAATCAGGATTTGGTTGTTTCTTGTGTCATAATACGCATACCAGATTTAATTAAGATCAGCCATTTTATGAAATAATTAATGTTGAGCACGACTGGTAGAACACGTCGTAAATGAATTCCAGATTACTCTTATTATTCACTCGGGATTATTTGCTTTTTTGGACTTTGTCCGTTGTCCGGTATTCTAAAGAACACAACGTTTTCGAAGCTTTATCTGTGTCCGTCCTCAGCTCTTTAATGGACCAAAGAGAATAGATGTCTCCCACCCACTCACCTGAGGACGGAAACACGTCCAGTTTCCGAAACGCTGTGTTCTTTAGTGTTCTTTAGAATACCACACGATGGACGAAACCAAAAACATAGTAATCCTGAGTGTCATAATCATCGTCAGAATGTATGCCGACTTTGTCCCAAAGAAATAAAATATTGTTTAGAGTGTACACTCAAAATTAGGCATAAACCCAAAGTAGTAACCATAACAACCACTGCAGCATACAGAAATAAGTGCGCCGAAGTGCAAATCAGTCTAAGTGTAGTATTTTTTTTTTAATTCGTAGGGTGGGGTGAGGCTGAGTCCAATTAGTACGTCGGCCACTAATTGGCCTGTTGTACCAGCCCAAATACTACATCACTTGACCTGGGATCGAACCTGGGTCTCTGCGATGGGGAAGCCGACGACTAACAGCTTGAACTATGGCACGGCCGAATTCACGTCTAACAGACTATCTTAAGGGAGAAGGCCGAAGTACGGCGGGGAATATAAAATAGATTTAGGATTCCATAAATAGGCAGGACAGTTAACTAGCTCACAACACTGTACACACACTTCACGTCACCACCTTTTTGTGGTACAAAACGTGAAAGTGGCAAGTTGTAAGAGGCACAATGCTCATCATAATGACTGTCGTATAAAATGTCAACTCACCTCCACGTGGCGAAACCTTTTCTTGTTTGCTAAACCGATTCATAATAACATAAACATTAGTCTTGTGTTCGAGAAATGTCACTGTGGGTTGCAGGTTAGATGGAACTTCCGTTCAAATTTCAGCCCAGTCAGTTGTATCGGTATAGAGATTAGACTACGCTTTCTACGACCAAGTAATCAAGGTTTGATTCCCGACAGTGGTAAAGCCCATAACATTATTAAAGGCGAGACTCTTCCCCCTCCCCCAGCAAACTATTAAATTATGCAGGAAACTAAAATGCTCATAATACGTGACGTGGAATGAGAAATGATTTGTTCTGGTATCAAAAATTCCTTTACAAATCTTGGCTTATTATCATTTATTAGCATGAAAATCACTCACTCTGAATAACATGGTGTAGGACACAAGCACAAGTGAGCATGCTTGAAACATGGCTGTTTCGGTATCTAGGGAAAAGGTAGACCTGCCAATCTGGCATTCCGGCTTTTATTCTGCAAGAGGAGTAACGGCGTTTGAAAGGTTTAAGCTTGTGACGCCTTCCTTGACTGTATCAGCCTCTTCTCCCTCTTTACGCCGACACCGAGTACCGACGTCGAAAATGGGCCAGGAGTCAACTTCGACATTTTGCACACGTACATCTAAATCAGTGTTGCAAACCTGAGATCGCTGTAACTTTCGCCATTAATAGTGCTCATAGAGAGGAAACTCAGCAGAACAGTGGACTACACTGCACAGATTTATGCAGCTTCCTGTAGTTCACAAGCAGCAAAATAAGAAAATATGGATGTACTCTATCATCATCATCATCAGTAATCTGTCAGACGACAGGTCCACAGTCTCTTCCAAAACAGTTCCTCCACTTAATGCGATCTTGAGCTTTCTCCTTCTCCTTTCTCCTTCCTTTCTCCTGTACTCTATATAAAAAATTAAAAGAATTTAATTTGTTGTTGAGATTCGACGCTCCCATATATGCGAATATTAAGATTAATGCGATATGTAATGTGAAGCTGTGCTGTTTGACAGATAGGTATTGAAAATTCGGAGGAACTTTCTGTCTCCTTCTTCAAAGTATTTGTGTTCATCGTCGTTCACAAGTATGAAACCATAGGGGTATCCCTCATCCTCAAGCAACAAACAAAATCAACCGCCATTGACTGGTAACAAAATTATAAATTTTGCCGAATATTTTATGTCTTTTTGTGTGAGAGCGTGACTGAATGAAATGCAGAGGCGTCCTATTTTGGGGGGAGAGGGGATGTGGTTGGTCGCACCCGGACGCCGAGCCTTAAGCAACCCAAATTAGACTGTAAATATTGTTTGTAATTTGTGTAACGACACTCCCAGTTATTCCGGCTATATAGCGTAGAATGGCTGCGTATTATTGTAGCGTGTAGAGCCGTTACTGAGTAACGAGCTTGAAACAAACAACGAAACAACATTCGTTGTTGGGCAACATATTTCTAATAAGCAAGTACACGCGGCCTTTACTGGGAAACGCATTTTCAAACAAACACGTTTCCACATAAACGATTGCAGCAACGATAGAAAAACGGTGTTTTCTACGCGATCCGTATTGTCAGTTGTAAGGGAAGCTGTGAAAGGAAGACTCTGTAGTTGCAGTTGAAGAATCTCCATTGTTAAGATCAATTACCGGGAAACGACTAGTGAAAGCAGGCTGAAAAGTCTTGGCGTGTGCTGTAGTGATTTGTAAAGTGTAGAAATTAGCGATTAGTTACGACCTGTAAGTGGTCAATAAATCCAATCTCCAATCCAAAATCCCTTCGAGAGTCACTCTAATATGTGAAAATATATCGGAAGTTACATGAAGGATACAGTTGTGACCTAATTCAAGGTACTGTAGCTTGTAGATCCGTTACTAGGTAGCGACCGCGAAACAAACAGGTTCCCACGGCGACGCCGTGCGCAACAATAGAGGAACTGTTGGAAATGACCGTTCAAGTGACTACGCTGCTATTGTAGAATAAGACACATAAGATAGGCTTGATCTGCTTTGCAGAGCCTATAATGACAGAGAACATGTACAGTATATAGTGCAAAAGGAAAGATTTTCAGTAACATGCTATAACTGTGATACGTACGTGTACGCTTGGCGAAAGGCCAAGCATATTCATAGATAAACCCATCTTCTTGTCAGAGAGGATGTTACATAGGACTATTACTGCAAGGACTCTGTTGAAAAAACGTCTCTGGTCGTGATTCTCAAGGGCTTGACGCCACGATTGGCGGTAAACTGCCAGTCGTAAAATAATTCTGACTCTGAGCTGTAATCAGCTGAAAGGTATTCTGGGCAGCGAAGACTAGGAGATTGGTGTCAGCCGTCAGCCGCCAGCCCTTCAGTTAGTTAGTCAGTTAATCTGTGAAGAAAAGACACAGAAGACTGTTTGTGCTGCAGTTACAGTGATCTGTAGAGTTTACAAACCAGTGAGATTGTAGTCACGAGTCGTGTGGTAAAGTGGTCAATAAATCGAGTCACCAATGCAAACGTATTCTGTAGTCACACATACAGGGTGTCCCAGGAGGAATATGCCAAACTTCGGGAGGGTGTTCCTTATGTTAAAGTATGCCGATATAACCCAAAACACCTATGTCCAAAGTTGAACGGTTACGGAGATAATGGCCCGAGAAAAGTGTGGTCTTCTGGCGGGTTCACGCACTATACCTGTCAGCTGAGACGTCTTATCTTTGTTTGTCCTTGAGTGTGGTGATTCACACTGGCCGTAAGCTCATGCGCTACCTACAGAGTACGTTGCGGCCGGGTCGTGAATGGTTGGTAAATTAGTTGTGCGGAGTTACTGAAATGCCTCTTGTGTTTTCACACGTGGAATATTGTGATATGCATTTTGTGTGTGGATTTTGCGGTGGCAATGCACGTGCTGCTGTTGAAGAATACCAAAGGCGTTTTCCCGATCGAAGGATTCCATCTCGAAGTGTATTTACGCGAATTCACCAGACATTGCGTGATACTGGTTCTCTTCCGAATGTTTCTGTGCACTCTGAAAGGGAGGATGTACGAATGATAAACACACGAGAGAACGTTCTTGAGATGGTTCAGAGAAGTCCGCGTCTGTCCACTCGTAGAATGGCCTCTCGCATCGGCGTATCACGTATGCAGGTGTGGCGAACTTTACATGATGAGTTGTATCCTTACCATGATCAAAGGGTACAACATCTGGAACCAGGCGACCATGCACAGAGTATGGATTTGTGCCACTGGATAAAAGCCCATCCCGAACTGTTAAGCGTCATTTTATTCAGTGATGAGGCGTCTTTTACCCGGGACGGTGTAAATAATTTACGAAATGTGCATACGTGGTCCCATAATAATCCACATGAGATAATGGAAACGAAATTCCAAAAGAGATTTTCCGTGAATGTACGTTTAATACAGTTATGTAGTCAGCTATGTTACGTCAGCGCTTGCCAGTCATGTGTCATGTATAGTGCTTGGAAACCTAAGGACAATTATGACATGGCGAGCGAGTATTTTGTACTTCAATTTTATGGCTTCATGTCACTCACAAGTTAGTTTGATGTCACGTACATTATTAACATTACAGAAACCACATATTCCTGCCAGTTTTAATATGTGTTTTGTAATCAACAAGTGTGTAACACCGGTCAAAGTTTCACACTTCTCTGGCCATTATCTCCGTAACCGTTCAACTTTGGACGTAGGTGTTTTGGGTTATATCGGCATACTTTAATATAAGGAACACTCTCCCGAAGTTTGGCACATTCCTCCTGGGACACCCTGTATACACGTGGCAGTACTATCCCGACATTTGCTCTCAGAGACTGAGGAAAACCGTGCGGAATACCGCGGCAAGGGTAATCGGTTCTCGGCCGAGATTCGAACCAGGCAACCACTGGATAAAAGTCAGAGACGTTACTGCTTGAGCCAACTTTATTGGTGTAAATATTGCTGATCTTTCAAGATATACTTATAACCTTAAACTCAGTCATAAAGATACACTCTAAATAAAAACAAAAATAAACAGACGCAAGATGACTTCACGACAATCAGAAACTCTTATTAATTCGGATATGCGCCATTCAAATGAGTAGTTGTGACGTTTGCCGTTATCGGCTCTGCATGTAGCACCATTCAATTGTAACAATTGTAACTACGGTTTATAAAAGATTATTTGCGTTGTGCTTAGGATTTTGTTAAGCGTATTGGGTTCATGGAGGCAAGGCAAAATTTAAATAGAAGGGCGGAGGGAAATTGTATTTATTAGTCCGCATGCGACAACTCGCGAATTGCTGAATGTGTTCTGCATAATATCTGATGCCGGGAATGTGAAACCTAAAAGTTCTCGCTGCCTTAACAGTGAAGAGTGCTGTCTTCTGAAATGTCATTTAGTCTGTTATAAGTCAATCGACGTCTCGAAGGTCCGTATTTCCAGAATCTTCAGGATCGAATGGTAAGTCCATCAAGCAGCCACGTAATTTTTTTGCGCGACCAGCCCACACCAACGCCCACCATTTTACGCCATTTATAAGCTAAAATTCACGTATTGAAGATAAATGCAGTAACAGGACGAACGCAGTAAAATTGTTATGCAAAGCATGCATATTGTAACTTCCAACAGGAAAACTGGATCTTCATAAAGAATAATTTCTAAGTCAATGGGCCAATTTTGTCAGCTAATGTTGGTAGTATATATTACAATTGGTAGCATGTGTAGTGTCATGTGAGCGTCAGAGGGTTGTGTGTTACGTGATGTGTCGTAATGTTTGTTAGTATGTGTCTATGAAGATTTTCTCATTTCTCAGTACTAGAATGGCAAAATATTACACCCTTACACCAATTCAATTAGGATGTGAAATTAGAAGTGTCGATCTGAAAACAGAAGCAAGACCGGAAGGTAAGTAGGTTTAAGGTTAGATTCTTCAATATAAACGTAAAGACGCTTTGCTAAATTTTGCCCCCCCGTGTGGAGGCGGGGTCGATTACCTCCACCGTGACCCTGAGAGTCGTAGGAGGCGACGAAAAGGAAAGTCTCAAATCTGAGACAGTAAAATATGGTCTCGAGTCCTAAGGGACTCGGCCCCGAGAAAGACCACGCTGGCAGGGGCAGCAGCATATGCAAAACACAGACGCGTCCTCTAGTCAGAGAGGCCCCCCACAAAAACAAGACCGTAACTGTCAACTGGTAATAATATCTCACCAAGAAATACTGACTGATTGATCATCAGTCGCAGTGTGACTTTGACTTTGACTAAATTATGCATCATACCATGAAGTCGAAAGGGGGAGTGGAAGTGGATCACTTTGCATGAGTGCTTACAGAGACTTCTAACCAAAGTTGTTATCATATAATTATGCTAATGTAATTGTTATGCATTTCTTTGCTACACGTATGCAGAAGAAACAATCATGCATGTAGTTTGTCCCAAAACTATGTTGTAATATCCTTTCCAGATGTCTGCCTTTATAAGAATTTGTAATTATATATTACCTTCCTTCTAACTTCAGCTATAGAGCAAATCAAGAAAGATGTTGCTGTTCACCGGTTGTTGGTGTTCAGAGATCAAGGGATTGTCAGCGGACAGCGTCATGTTGAGATAAGCCGTTGGTTTGGGGAATTGGAATCGACATTTTTCAAACATCCCAAGTCACCCCATCCTGATGTATTCAGGGTTTCAAATGACCGAAATGAAGGCTGTACTGGTATGAAATGTGCACACACAGTCAGGATAAAGTGTTAAGGAAAAACAATCACTCAGCATTATAGTTAATGGATAAAAGCATAGTCAGTTTTATTACTTGCAAGATGGTGAGAAGTAGTGCCATAATGTTTCTGTTTATGAATTCCTTGTTATTACCTCTGCTACATTTTCTTTATGGTAGATATTAATTAAATTTTGATGTCAGAGATGCCTTTTAATGGCTGTGAGCTAAATTTAGCAAATTGTAAATGACAGCCACTTCTAACTTGTATTTGGGAGAGGCCCAGTACTAATCTCTCTGTCTTCTGACCAAGTTTCTTCATGATCACTTGATGTATGTACACAGACACATGATGCTCCTCAGTCTGTACATGCAAATGCCAAGGCAGTACCTCGACATGCTATTTGATTTATTATTCACTAATTATCCTGTCATTTCAAGCTAGGTAGCCTGAACTGCACTAGGCTATCTTCATTGGTTGCATCCTGTTGTGTGTTCCAGATATACAGTAAAACTTGGTTATAGCAACATCGGTTTCTGCGACACCTTGTCTATTGCGTCAAATATTCAATGGTACCAACTAATTCCTCATAAAGCAACTGTTTTTATACGTTGCTTAGTACGACACGCACAAATGCATCAACCTCGTATGTAACATCATTTTCATTCCTGAATTTCTCTGATATCATGGGAAAGTTCGATGTGTCTGCCCGCCCTCACTTTCTCTACTTGCTGACGTGACTGTCCTGGAAGAATACGACCGCGGGCTGCAAGAGGAGCGTGGGTTTTATGCGAAAACAGGGTGGGACTGCGTGAATAATGCAAGAGGA